TTCCTCACCTCCCTTCCCCTGGGGCAAGTCGGTGCCATCTTCGCGGCCCGACCGATCGCGCGGGCCTCACCAGGGGGAAACTACGGCCACAGCCTTCTTGCTGGCTTCGGCATGCAGCGCCCGATGAGTGTGAAAGAGAATCACGATATTTCGGAGGCTGGTCTCTGAGGGGGGACGAGAGCGAAAATCTTCTAAGAGAATCGCTGGCCAGGAACAGGAGAAGGAGGAGCAAATGAAGAAGGAGAGGGATGAGGAGGAAGAGAACGACCGTCTTATGCCGTCAACGGCCAGAGACCTCCAAGCAGGGGCTAACAACGTGATGAATAAGCCCAGGAACACCGCCACCACGAACAGGATTCCGTGCAGCGAGACATTCAGCCAACAATGGTCCTCCCGCCCACGACCATACAATCCAGAGGAGGTGATAATCCGAGTGGTGTCGATGAAACAAACGACGGTATGCTGACCACGCTAATCTTAGCAAGCTAGGGCCCCGAATGACCTCGAGCCCAGAAGGTTTTGGACGAATGGGGAACGAGGTTCTACATCACCATGGGGAAAGGGGCATGAGGAGGGGGAGAAGAAGAGGGGAACAGAAGGTGGAGGAGCAAGAGGAGGCAGCGAAGGGGAGGAGGAAAGAGAGGAAGACGAGGCACCAGCCGAGCCGTTGCGTGGAAAAGGAACGAGCAGAGTGACTTGCTCCCCTCAGCCGGGCTTCCCTTGCGCTGGACCCCCCCCTCGCCATCGCGTAGACGGCCGTTCACCATGCATTTTTCGGTTTGCTGCGTTTCATTTGTCGCAAGATTGTCCTAGATGCTCCCCGATGGTCCTCGCCGAGAATTGCACACGTCCTAGCAATATCAAGCTCAAGCCCCCGACTCCCCGTCCGCTGGGCTTCTGCCAGTGAGGCCGCCCTCGTTTCGCTTCCGCTGGCGCTTCCGCGGATCTTCTGCTGGCCTCCACCACGAGGGAGAAGGCAACCCTTGGATTTTTCGATCACGACATGATGACGACCATGATGACGATGACGACGACGATGATGATGATGATGCTGATGATGATGATGACGATGATCATGATGCTGCTGATGATGCTGCTGATGATGATGGTGCGGACGATTATGATGAGGGTATAGATGACGACAATGATGACGACTACGTTGATGATGACGCTGATGGTGGCGGCGATGATGAGTCTGATGCACGTGAGTATGATGGTGATGATGCGGATGCTTATGCTGATGAGTCAGATGACACGTCTGATGATGGTGATGCTGATGGTGGGGATGATGCTGATGACGATGCTAAAGATGAAGCTGGTGGGGATGTTGCCGCTGATGCATATGAAGAGGATGTGGATGATGCTGGCGATGCTGTTGATGTTGACGGTGAGGGTGATGCTAATGATGCTGATGATACTGCTGATGACGATTATGCCGATGCTGCCGATGATGCTGATGCTGATGCTGATGCTGATGCTGCTGACGATGATGATGCTGATGATGATGCTGCTGATGATGATAATGCTGATGATGATGATGGTGGTGGTGGTGGTGGTGGTGGTGGGTGGTGAGACGACGACGGCGAGGAGGCGGACGACGACAACGGGGATGAGAAGGAGACGATCTGCTAGAGAGCCGAAAACCAAGCAACGCGTGTCGGCGACGCTTCCCGTCGGCAGAGATGAGCTACGGTTGCACACATGGGAGCACCACCACCAAGGGAGGAAGGTGGAGAGGAAGGGAAGGGAACGGAGGGAACGAAGGGAGGAAGGAGAGGTAGGAGAGGATATGAGGGGAGAGGAGGAAGGTAGGAGAGGAGGTTCGGGGAGTGACAGGAGCTCTAGCAGAAGCCTCATTCTCGATGCCCACTCCATGGGCCTCACGCAACGCAGTCCACTTCGCGGCTGTGCAACTGGCCCCACTGACCGCATCACAAGGCTTTCGGCACGCCCTGGTCTACGCCTCGTGAGACCGCAGAACAACAGAACCTGGCCGAGTCTACCTTCGGACAAGGCCCCACCATTCTGAAGACTCAACCAACTAATCAACTCTGCACGGTTCAAGGGCGAGCGACGCATCTATACCGTCGGATGCAAGTGCACCCGACATATTTCAACCGCGAAGCCCGTAGGTAAGCCAGGATGGCTCAGCAAAGTCCATGGGCGTTGTCCCGAACGCAATATTAGATTCATGTACATCGCTCGCCTTGTAATTCACATGGCCGCCGTGCACGTTGTGATTACTGCGACAGTCAGGTGACGGCTTCCAACACGGGGAACATGCGGACGACGTGCATCAACACTCCTGGGGAAGTCCTCCATACCAAAGGCACAGTAGCGACACACAAGCAAGGCCCAACACTTACAACACCACCAACAACAGCTCCAGCAACAACACCACCACCACCACCACCACCACCAACAACAACAACAACAACACTAACAATCATTTTACCCGAACGCGTGGTGTTCTCCCCAGTGCCAGGGTTTTCATACGACACCAGGCAATACCCCCACTTCGTGGGGGGGCATTACAAGCTCTACCAAATATCCAAACGACTCTTCGCGACCACCCAAACCCAGCTTCCCGCCCTATGACGTTGGGACACTTCACTTCGTGGCGTGCGGACGACCGTGGCTACTACACTGGCGTGGGGTACACACCCACAGAACCCAATGGTTTTTGGAGATTTCGGCGTGCGCGCGCGAAGAAAAAACGAATGTGTCCCGCATGGTATTATTTGACAGGGATGATGGCCCTGGCAGGTGCGCAACCGTTGTCGCAGAAGTTCGAAAAAGTTGCTCGCAAAAGCCCGTTTGACAGAAATGTTTAAAAAGTGTTGGGTTTCCTACGAATCCGCAAGAGCGCGCGGGATGAGATTTTGACATTTTTTTGTTGAAAAACCATTGGTTTTTTGATGTTTTTATGTTAAAATCGCTCCGAACACTAAGCTTTTGGAAGGATTTCGTCTTGCGCGCGCGAATGTCCACTTTACCTTATTTTTTGCAAGGGATTCTTGAAATTTGATTATATTAGAACAAGAAATGTCATTTTATAGTGTTTTTTGCAAGGGAAAGCGGGGGGGAACAAAACAACCGGATCTTGATCACATCGATTACCTGAGGCTTCCTCACGAAAATGATGAAAATGTAGCTGCGGCCTAGGCGGCGCAGGGGGGGCGTGCACCAGGGGGCCCAACAATAATTATTCTTTAGAATTAATAATGTTCAACAACCCTGTTAGCGGAATAAGGCAGACTCGGTTCGCACTTCGTTTTGAACGCCGTCGCCAATCTCGAAACACAGGTATGCGCCGTGCCAGAAGTCCGAGAGAAGCAGCTGGACAGATTATTGCATAGGCGTCACAACTTGCCATGCCGCTGCAGTCCCAATTGTCTGAGCCATACCTGTTCTTGCCGATGACGGGTTCGCCCGTCTCGCAATCCAGCAGCCCAGTAATTCCCACGCCCCACATGGGCCAGGCGGCCGGTTTCATCACCACAAGCTCCGTCTCGAACTCGTTGCACGACGTGCCTCTGATATCACGTGGGAGCAAGGCCATCCTGAACACGCATCGCATTGTGACTTTGCAGTCGCACTCCCTCCCTGCAAACTCACCTACGTAGCCGTCAATGCAAACACCGAAAATCCCAGTGACTACTCTCACGGGCTCAAAGCTGAGCGCTCAATCAATCAGTACAGAGGCCCCGCTCCTGCCTGTTCGAATGCTGGCAGCTACCCGAGAGCAACAGCACAGCCCTCACAGCAGCCCCAGCATGGTCGGTGAGAAAAGCTCGAGCCAGAATGTCTGGAGTCGCAGGCCCTCAGCCAAACGTGGCCGACCCTGGATTGCCTGATGACACCAGCGTTGACCTCCCCCTGGGGGGTGAAACTTTCACAACCACTAGCTTCCGCGGGTCTTCCACAGGTCTCCGCTGGCGAAGCCGCCCTCGCTTTTTTGCCTCCGCCGGCCTCCGCAGACATCTCGCCAGCTTCCGCAAGGATAGCGGTGAGATCCACCTGGCCCCCGACATCACGAAGAGCAAGCCCTTTGGCACGCCTAGAACGGCTGCGGAGGGCGAGGGGCAGGGGAGATGATGATTACCATGAGGTGACAATTGGACAAGCTTGTTCCACTACTCGCAAAGTAACCGCTCGCAAATGGCCTGGATCCGCCGCGAGGGGTTTACGATCCACTGCATGGAGGAAGACAGTGGGCTTAGGTCGGGCATGTCTTCCTACAGGCGGACTTTGGAATACAAGCGATGACGAGCCAAATAAATATTCAAAATAGCCAACAAATAGTCGAATCATCGTCCCCGTAGTATTTTTTAACTATGTTCAAATATTCTCCCTGCAGGGGGACATGCCCGACCTACGAGTAGGCACTTTGCGAGTGGCGGAACGCGCTCGGTGAGCAACGGTCCCGAGGGAAGCGGGTCCTTGAACCCGGGGCTGTCACCAGGGCCAGCCTTCGCACTCCGAGGTCGCCTCGAGGGGCCGAAAACAATGGCGAACAAAACCCAAGGGGCCCCTACCCCTCGGATCCCCCCCTCTTCACGGGTGATGCGCGGACGAGGACGCGGAGCGGCACCACCGGCAGGCCCGGGCATGCGGCGCGCGGCGCGCCGATGAGGCGCCACGCGTGGCGCTCCCGACCCATCGCGGCCCCGCCCTCGCCAGCACGCTGCCCCGCGCCTCCCCGCGGCGCTCCAGGCGCGCCTCCGCGCGGGGGCCTCTTGTCCGCCGTCCGCCGCCGCCGCGCCCGCCCTCCGCGACCACCTCTGCCTCGAGGCACGCCCGTGCACCGCGGGCCGGGTTCGGCGGTAGAGCAGCGGCTCTCGCCGTCGGCGCGCGGCGCCCGCGGCCCTGCAGCGAGTGCGCCGATGTGGGCCCGCCGAGGAGGGCCAGGCCCCGCTGCGGCGGCGCCTCTGGCGGCAGCGCCGAGGGCCGGCCGCCGGTCCCGCGAGGAGCGATCGGTGTGCCGCCCGCGGCTGGCGTCACGAGGCGCCCTGGCGCAGGCCAGCGTCGATGACGCGAGCGGCCTCCTCCCTCCCCAGCGCCCTGCGGAGGGCGGCGTGGACCCGCCTGTCTCGCCGGTGCTCCGCTGGGAGGCCGCGGAAGGCCTCGGCGGCGGCCCCGGAGCGGCCGGGGCCCGCGTTGGCGTGCGCGGACAGCAGCATCGAGGCCATGCGCGCGTCCGTCCCCAGCGAGGCCGCGCGCATCTCCCGCAGCAGCCCCTCCACCTCCTGCCAGCCGCCCGCTCGCTCGGGCGCCACGGCCAGCGCCGCGTACGTGTGTGCCGTGGGCTGCAGCCCACGCTCGAGCAGGCGCCCGAGCAGTCGGCGCGCGGCCGCGCCGTCGCCGGCGTGCCCGTGCGCGTTCATGGCGAAGTTGAAGCTGCAGACGTCCGGGCCCGGGCCTGCCTCCAGCTCCGACAGCCAGTGCTCGGCACGGTCGGGCCTGCCGCCGCGAGAGCAGGCGTCGAGCACCAGGTTATAGCACTGAGTGTCTGGGCTGAGGCCCCTGCTCAGCATGCGGCGGAAGATCCGCTCGGCCGCCTCCGCGTCGCCGCTCTGCGAGTGCACGCCCAGCAGCGCAATGTGCGGCTTGAGCCCGCTGACGCGCTCGCGGTCTGCGCGCTCCAGCCACTGCTCGGCCTCGTCCAGCTGCCCTGCCTGAGCGTAAGCCTGCACCGCCAAAGCATAACACCGTCCGTCTGGCGGCACCCGCAGCTGGCTCATCTTGCCGACCCAGCGCCGCACCCCATCGCAGTCGCCCGCCTTCGCGAAGACCTCGAGCAATGCGCTGCAAGCCATGACATCGACACGCACTCCCTCCGCAAGCGCCTGCTCCATCAGTGCCTCCGCGCTTCGCGCGGAGGCGGCGGTTCCCTTGCGGACGTGCCCCTTCACCAGCGTGGTGTACGTCACGACGTCAGGCTGCGCAGCCCTGCTACGCATGTCGTCCAAGAGCTGTACCGCTTCGGCCACGCCACCTCGCGTGGTTGCCTCGTGCATGTGCGCGTTCAGGGCACCTACTGTCCCCTCCACGCGCGCAGCCACCGACACCCACTCCTCTGCCCTCATCCCTGGGGCCCTCTTGAGCGCGCGATCACCTGCAAGCAGCAGGGCCTCGTCGGTGAGCTGGAGGGCCCCCTCGCCCCGGCGCTCGGCGAAGGGCACGCCGAGCTCGGCCTCCTCGGCCGCCGCGAGCCTCTCCAGCTCCGGCCCAAAGGCTGGGACCAGGCGCACGCCGTCGGCCTCCGCCACGAACTCCGCGCCGTGCGCTGCGGCGGCGGCGGGGCAGTACCCGTGCTGCCTCTCGGCCGCCAGGTGCAGGGCCTGCATCTCGGGGGCGCTGACCGCCTCCATGGCGGCAGGGAGGGCGCCTGCAGGCGTCTCCGTGGGCTGGCAGGCATTGGCGCCCGCCGCGGGCTTCCTGAAGATCGGCGGCGGGCGAGGGGGGGAGGTGAGAAGGGAGAGGCCTTCTCAGAAGGCGGCGGGGCTTCTCAGAGGCCCTCGCGCCCTCTGAGAGGCAAGCAACTTGTGTCTTCGGGGAAGGCTTTAGAAAACTGCTCAGGAGCCTGGGGACTTCCGAGTCTTCTGAGAAGGCCTCCTCCTTCTCCAAGGGAGCGAAACATGACAAAACCATGGAAACCTGGAGGTCCGCGCGGATTTCTTGGATCCGCGCTGGACCCCCCTCCCTGGCGCGCGAAGCGCGCCAGGGGCTGCGCCGGAGGCGCCGCCAGGGGCCCCAGCGCCGATCCGAGAAACCCGCACGGACCTCCGAGTTATCATGTTTATGACATTGTCCGTTCCTGTATTCTCACTTCCCCCCCTCGCCCGCCGCCGAGAAGAACCCCATCACGAAGAAGCCCTCGGTGTCGAAGGCGTGGGGCCAGATGCGCAGCCCGTGCCTGCCGTGGCCCCCCACGGTGGGCGGCAGGCGGAGCAGCGCGCCCACGTCCGCCCCCTTGGTCTTCCGCGGGCCCCCGAGGAGGGTGGCGAAGCGGACGACCGCCTCGTTCTCCACATGGCTCGGGTCGCACGAAGAGGGGGGGGGGGGCAGCCAAGGGAGGGGGGGTGGCGAAGCAGCTCGGCTACGCACGCAAAAGAGTGACTCGCTGGGCAAGAATGCAATTTCGCGAGCGGCCTCCGGCGAGGCTTCCGGGGGCCGCGACGGGGGCCAGATCCAAGCGTGCTGGCCGGTGCTGGGGGGGCTCTGGGAGCCCGCACCTGGGGTGACTCCGGCGAAGGGTCACTCTTGCGTGCAGTCGATCGGCTCATGTAGCTGATTTCCCCCGCGCCCCCCGGCGCTGGAGGCGCCAACGTATCGAGGAAAGCGCCTGGCGGTGGGGCCGACACCAGCTGGATGTAGCAGATTTCGTACCCCCCCTTTCCCTATCCCCCCCCCCTTTCGTCCGACCCGAATAGTTCAGGGTGCAAGTGGAGTACACGAGGCAGCCGCCGGGGCGGAGCGCATCGCGAGCCGCCCGCGCCAGGTCCTTCTGCTGCTGCGCACGGGCGCGCAGCACCTCGCCGTGGCCAGGCTGCGCCCAGGCGTCCAGGGCGTCGGGGTGCTTCCGCACGTTGCCCTCGGAGGAGCACGGCGCGTCCACGAGCACGGCGTCGAACGCCTCTGGCGCCAGCCGCCCCACCAGGCACCCGTCCAGCTGTAGCCGGATGCTGTTCGCCGCCCCGAAGCGCAGCAGGTTGGCGCGCAGCGCGCGGGCGCGCGTGCCGTCGGGCTCGTTGGCCACCAGGCAGCCCGTGCCGCCCAGCAGCGCGGCCAGCTGCGTCGCCTTGCTGCCCGGCGCGGCGCACAGGTCCAGCAGGGCCAGGGGGCGCCGCGCCGCGCGGGCCTCGGCGGCGGGCGCGCCCGCGGGCACCAGCAGCCCCTGGGCCGCCAGCATGCACCGAGCCAGCTCCGCTGGCAGCATGGAGGTCGGCTCCTGGACGTAGAACTCGCCGGTCATGTGCGCCCTGCTGCGCCCCAGGCTCGCGCCTGGCGGCGCGCCGTCCTGGGGAAACGAAAGGGTACCGACCGATGCCACTACTCCCGGGACCTCTCATGGGGTGCGTTCTGACCCGAATCTCGAGGCGAACCCAGCGGTGGCGACGAGGGCCTCCCGGGAGGCCCAAGAGAGGGACAACGGGCCTCAAGGGTAGCGGTATGGGTACCTTTTCCTCCTCTGATGTCCAGGAAGAAGCCGTCGGCGCACCAGGGCACGGGGCTGTCCCGCCAGCCCTGCTGGCGCAGGCGCTCGAGCAGGTCCGCCCGGGCCTTGAGCGGGTTGGCGCGCACGCAGGGGCGCCGCGGGCGCGCACAGCTGCGCAGGAGCCGGCGGAGCTGCAGCCCCGCGATTCCGAGGCCGCACACGTGCTCCAGGAAGGCCCTCGCGCGCGGAGAGAGGATGGAGCAGGGAGGGGGTGTGAAGGAGGACGAGGAGGAAGAGGGCACCTGCCATGTACAGTCGGCACACACGCTGAGAAATCCTGCGATCAGACATCTAGGGGCACACTCTGCGTCCATCCGGATTCGAAGGTCCGATCAGGGCCCCAGAGCTTCTGTGGGTCCCTGGGGCCAGCAGTGGATATAAGAAACGTCTGCGGGACACCTGTTGGCGGGCCAGATTCTCATTTGACGTGCCTACTGCACCAGGGCCTGAAAAGGCCGTGCAACAGAAGAAGGAGCTCTGTGGGCGAGCCTCAGAATCTGGTCCACGCTGCGGGCCAATGGATCCTGTGGGGCCCAGGGGCGCCCAGGTACTCCAGGACCGTCTCCGCAGCCGTGGAGGTCGGGGCTCGCTGTGTTCGAAGGGTCCTCGGTGATCGGGGACCTCTCCATGGGCAGCCGGCTAAATGTCGGGAAGTAGCATCGACAGAGGGCCCCTCCTGTGCCTGCGCTGGCGAGTACGCCAGCTGGACCCCGTGCAACGCAGCCAAGGCGATGGCATGAAAAGCAAGAGCGGAATCGGATATCAGGAGCAACTGTCTGGGAGGACCTTCGGCAAACGTCGAACTGGCCTCCCACGAGCAACCCAGTGTTATATCTACGTATGTATGTGTATATATATGTATGTCTATCCATATACACACGTGTACACATAGGCATCCACCTAGTATCCGCCACCGTGCCTGCACGGAGTAAGCGTGTTAGAATGCTCCTGTGGTCCCTCTGGGAGTTTTCTTGTGTAAACACATGTTTCCTACGGGCGATGGCCCCCCCCCTCGACGCGCGCCACCCTTGAACACCGCCCCCTCTGAACTTGCTATCGGGCGGCCTTTTCGGCCTCCTGACGGCCAAGTTGGCCTCCAAGACGGCTTCCAAGACAGCCAAGACGACAACAAACGGGCTCAAGATGGCCCAAGATAGCTCAAGAGCCTCTCAAGACGGCCTCAAGACGGTCCAAGAGGCTTCCAATGGGGGCCTCAAGATGGCCCAAGAGGCTTCCAAGACGGCCCTAAAGCTCGATGAGGCCTTCCTGGGGAGCCCGAGGCCCGAGGGGGCCACAGCCATTGATTTCCCCAAGATGTTTGAAAGATTTTGAGGCTCTCGCCTGTTCGAGTTTCCGACCACCCAAGACAGCCCCAGAGGCCTCCCAGAGGCTTCCGGTATAGCTCCAGTACAGCCCAAGAGGCTTCCAAGAGGGCCCCAAGTCGGGTCAAGAGGATCCAACGATCGCCCAAGGGGCTCCCAAGAGGGCCCAGAGATGTCTTCGAAGCTGTACAGGAGAGCACCACACCAGCCCAGACAAGCCCCCACGACGGCCATCGAAAGCGCCAGACGAGCCAGGAGCTCGCTAAGACGGCTCACGAGGCCCTAATAAGTCCACGAGAGGCCACGGGAGGCCACCAAGAGGCCCCCAAGAGGCCTACAGGAGGCTCACAGGAAGCACCCAGGAGGCCCCAAGAAAGGGGTCCATGAGTCCTTCTCCTCCTCGTCTTCATATTTTCCGTCTCCACTTCCTCCTCCTCCTCCTCCTCCTCCTCCTCACGCTCCTCCTACTTTTCCTCCATACCGCGCGGACGAAGACGAGGTCAAGACCGCGACCCTTCTCAAATCAGACCAGTCGCAGAACTGCCGCGGGCCGTCCACTCGACCCCCTTCCTCTCCGCGCTGGCGAAGACCGGGTCGAGCTCACTGCCCGTCCTAGTTCCGACCAGCCGTCGGACTTGCGCTGCTCCTGCACTCGGTCTCCTTCCTGCTGCGACGTTGCACAGGCACGGTGGCAGGGCTTGCGGCAGGCAGCTGGATTTCTGTATACAATGTCATGCGTATATATTTACATGTGTGCATATGTGCATATATATATATATAGATATACTTTTTGTATGCATACATACCTCTCCGTGAGAGTAGATCTCAGAGGCGAGTGTTGCTGACGCCGTCACGTCCGCGCTGCTTCTAGCCGTCTAGCTCGGGACACTCTCATAGTTATGATAATCAGACGCACCCTCACGTAGATCGCGACGTCAGGGTAAACATAATCACAATTGGTTTCAACATGTTGGCATGCAACCTTCAAACACAGAAAGACACACCATACGTTTGCGCATACTTGTCACAACGCCAATGGTGTTTGCAATTGTTTGTGTGCTGTTCTTCACCATTGTATCAGCAAGCTCTCAAAAACACAACGGCATTCAACGATGTTTTGTGCATGGCTGCTAACACACGCCGTTCTGGCATCGCTTGTCCCAGACGTCTCGCTAGGGTAATCCTCATATATCTGACAAGCGGACGCAGCCCTCACGCATATCGCGACGTCCGGATCACACAGCACAATTAATGTTCAACTGTTTGACTCGGTGCCTTCAAACACACAATTAGTGTAATTGAAGTTGAGCGTTCTTTACACAAGCAAATGGTTGTTCCATGCGTTCCTGCGCAACTATTCGCCATCGTAAGGATAACATATCCAACAAGGCAGCATAGTTAAGTGAGTTCGCACGTTGATGCTAGACCAACAAAGCGTAGTGTGATGTGGTTTCTAGTGTAGTTCTCCAGCTTTGCTCTAAGCTGTACCGTTTCATGCCCACGGGTTTGCTTCTCAACATCTTGTGACATCGCACATCGGTGGCCCCCCACCCACAGGTTTTGTTTGGGCCCAAGCAAGCACGTACCACTTGTATACGTGCGTACTGTCGGGCCCGCTTCCTGGGCGCTGCCAAGAAAACGCTGGGCCAGATGGACAAGTGGGAGGCGGCCGCATGATCCGCGGGTCTGGAATCTTCGGGGAACAATGAATGACATAAACATTAGCGTTCGGAGATCCGCGCAGACTTCTCGGATTGGCGCTGAACCCCCTGGCATGGGCGCGCTCCGCCCGCCAGGGAGGGGGGTCCAGCGCCGATCCAAGAAATCAGCG